ATGTTTCCGAATAAAATAAATTAAATATTAAACTCATGCTCTTTCGAATCTTTTTATACAACTAGTTGAAACCCTCTCGCGATGGGCAGTTTATTTCTTTCGAAATATATTTAAATATCTATTATATTAATTTTTCTGATATAATTCGAATAATGTAAATAAAAGTAATATGTTCGGAACCTAAAAAATGTCGAAGAAAAAAAAGAAGTCCTCTCCAAAGCGACGAACGGAGGTCCCCACTGGACCTTCGTCTTCCAAGCTTTCGCCGATCTCTGTTCCTCCCCCTCTCCACCTTATTCCCCCCATAACCCCCTTAATCTCCCCCACTGATCCATCTTCTCTTCCTCTACCCCCTCCAAACCCTAATCCCCAAATCCCCCATCATTCGCCAAAATTAGGTGAGGGCTCTTACTCTTCTCCGTTGCCCCCCCTTCTTCCCAGCCCTAATCTTCTTCTTCCTCATGAATTTCCCCCTCTTATTTCCTCCCATAAATCTTTGAGCCCTAAAGCTCTAATCTTGGGTCCGGCGAAGATCGGAGCCATACCACTTGCCTCTTCCTCAAATCCTGTTTCCCAAGCCCCTTCTGTCTGGGGTAAATCTAATTTTCCATGGGCCCAGAGATTAAAACCATCTTCTCGTAACCTTTGTCGAGCCACTACCCCCTCATATTCGGAGAATGGTATACCCAGGGTCAAAGTTCCCGGATCTGTTCTCCTTGAGACTTCCAAAGCTTGGTCGGGGAATCTGGTAGGCCATTTTTATGGCATTGCACCTCCAGGCTCCAGGATTTTTCAAGCGCTCAACCCTATATGGGGAAGGAAGGCTCGTATCCTGGTCAGACGAGTTAGTGACACCTCTTGCCTTTTCCATATACCGGATCTAGCTACGCGTGAGTGGGTTTTGGAAGTTGGTATCTGGTACGCAGGAGACGTCATGTTCTCTCTCTCGGAATGGACTCCCACATCGTCTCTCAGGCAGCCGACGCTTACTTCGGCTCCAATATGGATAATCCTCAAGAACATTCCTGCCGAGATGTATTCTTTAAAAGGTATCAGTTATATAGCCTGTGGTGTTGGGGAGCCTCTGCACACGGAGAAGATGCGCCTCGACCCCCTGAGTGTCGGAGAGGCTAAGGTAAAAATTGAAGTTCAACTAGGTGCTACTCTACCTGAGGTGGTAGAGGTTGAAGATGACAATGGTGGTGTCGTCAAGGTGAATGTCGTTTACTCGTGGCTTCCCCCTAGGTGCCCCCAATGTCTCCAATTAGGACATAAGGCCTCGAGTTGCCCTTCCCCAAAGCTGGATACGGCAGCCCCTGCCCCTACTGGCTCCAACCCTCCGACATCCTCTACGACGCCTTCGACCTCTCTGGGTATGTCCTCTGTCATCCCCACCATCGCAGGCGCCCCCACCACCCCCACAGATGTTGATTCTATACCTGGCCCTGATAAAAGCCAGGCTGGAGTTCCTCTTCCACAGCCTTTAACCCACTCTCTTCCTCCTCCATGCCATACTCCTCCTAACCCCCAATCTGCCACCATCCCCACAAATCAGCCTGATTCATATTCCCCACCACCACCACCATCCAAACCCCACTTCCAGACAACACCATTGCTTGCTAGCCACCCCACAAATCAAGACCCACAACCTAACTCCCCTGTATCATGTTCCCAAGATAAGGCCAAGAGGATGGAGATTCAGTCCCAAGGTGCCAAGGCAACCTATAGCTCTGATTCCGAAGATGAATTGGTGCAGGAATCTCAACGCTTGTTGCGCTCAAGAGCGACCATTGTCTCCAAGCTCCCTCTTGACTTCTCGGTGGTCAAGAAGGGCCAGAGGGGGAGGGGTCGAGCTAAGTGATCACACTTTTTGGTACCGCCCACATTTTGTTTTTTTGGTACAGTGAAGAGAAATGACCAGAATATTTTGTTGGAACGTTCGCGGTTTAAACGACTCTGCAAAGCAACGTAATGTTAAGAATTGGATTGATGAGCAAAAGCCCATTATCGGTTGTCTAATAGAAACTCGGGTTCGCAGTGAAGCGGTGGCTGTCAGCATCTCTCAACGCCTCTTCCCTGGTTGGGCATTCACTCACAACTATCACTCAGCCGATCTCGGTCGGATTTGGGTCACATGGGACCCTTCCATCTCGGTAGTTGTCTACTCAGCCTCAGAGCAGTGCATAACCTGTGGTGTCTTCATTCCAGTCTCCGGGGTCTATGCTACTATCTCGTTCATTTATGCGAAGAACACGCCAGGAGAAAGACGATCCCTTTGGACAGAGATATCTGGCCTCGCAACCAATGGTCTCATCATGTCTAGACCGTGGTTGTTAGCCGGCGATTTCAACCAAATCCTTCGTCCACAGGAGCATGCATCACCAACGGTCCCATTCAATCCAACCTCCGGGATGTTCGACTTACAGGACTGCATCTTCTCTAACGGTCTCTTCGACCTAACGACAAGGGGTCATTTCTTCACATGGATCAATAACAACTCTGACAATCCTATTGCTCGAAAACTGGACCGAGCTATTGTGAATGAGAAATGGTTGCTCGCTTTCCCCGAATCTTTAGCCAGGTTTGATGCGCCGCTGCCCTCGGATCATTGCCCTTGCCTAGTGGAACTATTCCCGACCACCACCAGACGACTCACGAGCTTTAAGTTTTTTAAGCACCTGTTAAAGCATGACGACTTCCACTTGTTAGTGAGCCAGACTTGGGCTCAAGACTGCCCTCGTAGTACGGCCATGTATAGGTTGTCATACAAATTGAAGTCTCTTAAGCCTGTTCTACGGGGACTAAATAAAAGGGCTTTCAGTTCTATTCAAACTCGTGTCAAGGCTGCTATGGAAGCTCTCAAGGAAGCCCAATCTCGATTACTTGACAACCCAACCATCGAGGCTGCTAGGCTTGAATCTGACCTTCGATCCTCTTGGTCGATTTTGTCAGCTGCGGAGGAGACATTCTTGAGGCAAAAATCAAGGATACGATGACTGAGAGAGGGAGATCAGAACTCGAAATTCTTCCATCGAGTTGTGCTTTCTCGCCAAGCTACTAACGCTATTCGCTTCCTTGAAAATAATGCAGGGGAAAAGATCTACAGAGTCGCGGACATGAAGCAGATGGCAGTGGGTTATTATCAGTCCATCCTAGGATCGATTGACACAAACGTGTCATGCTGGACGGTTGCAGATCTCCAGGAACTTTTCCCATTTCGTTGCCAGGAAGACATGTCAGCTGTGCTGTCAGCCATTCCCACTGCTGATGAAATCACTGCGGAGGTCTTCTCGATGCCAAAGGATAAAGCCCCAGGCCCGGATGGTTACCCCGCTGAGTTCTTTGTGGCTTGTTGGGATGTTATTGGAAAGGATGTCATTGAGGCTGTTTTGGAGTTTTTCACTTCGGGTAAACTGCTGAAACAGTGGAATGCTACCACCATTGCACTCATACCTAAGTCTAGGAATGCGAGCCACATGAAGGATTTCCGACCTATATCTTGTTGTAACACAACTTACAAAATTGTCTCCAGACTTCTCGCCAAGAAGCTCAAGGCTCTGCTGCCCTCAGTGGTTCTCCCTAATCAGACAGCCTTTATACAAGGTCGCTCGCTTCTCGAAAATGTGCTCCTCGCCACTGAACTAATGGCGGGGTTTAACTCCAGGGGTCGTCCGAGGTTTGCGGCTCTTAAGGTGGACCTATCCAAGGCCTTTGATTCAGTCCAGTGGGAGTTTATCTTCCGAATCCTGCTCGCTCTTCAAGTTCCGAACAGATTTATAAATTGGATCGCTCAATGTATTTCCACGACATCATTCTCACTTTCATTCAATGGTGAATCTGTGGGCTTCTTCCGTGGCCAACGAGGGTTAAGACAAGGTGACCCGATATCTCCCTACCTGTTTGTACTTGTTATGGACTCTTTATCCCGTCTGCTCAACCGAAAAGTGGCTAGGGGAAGCATCACTCTGCCTCCAAAGTGTAGAGCTCCCTTGGTGTCTCACCTCACTTTTGCAGATGATATCTTGGTTTTTTCTGAGTGCACTACCACATCTCTCTCATCCATCTTAGGCACATTGGATGAGTTCTACCTCACCTCTGGTCTAAAGGTGAACCGAGCAAAAAGCTCTCTATTCCTTGATGGGGATGACTACGTCACCAATGCTGCTATTGCTGACAGTTTGGGAATATCCTCGGCTTTACTCCCGGTGAAATACTTAGGCCTACCTCTATCTCCATCGGGATTACGGGATAGGGATTGCATTATTCTCAGGGATGCTATAAGGAGCAGGTTGTGTTCGTGGATGTCTAAGCACCTCTCATTTGCAGGGCGTTTACAGCTAATCAAGTCGGTGACTTTTAGTATTATTAACTTTTGGGCAGCGGCTTTTATCCTCCCATCCAGTTGTCTTAAGGATATAGAACGAATGTGTTCAGCCTTCCTCTGGTCAGGTGCTCCAGATTCCGCTAAAGGGGCCAAAGTCTCTTGGTTAGGCATATGTTGCCCTAAAGCACACAGAGGTTTGGGCCTCAGGAGATTAGCGGACTGGAATAAGACTTTATGTTTGAAGCTGATATGGATATTGTTTACCAAGGGAGGCTCATTATGGGTGGTTTGGGTGAAGAGAAATTTGATCAAAGGCAAACACCTGTGGACACTAAACCATCGAGGCAAAGGTAGTTGGGCGTGGCGCAAACTCTTAAAGTTGCGCCCAGTGGCACGTTCTTTGCTAAGGTGCAGGGTTGGTAATGGTGAGACATGTAGTTTTTGGTATGATTCTTGGCTTCCATTCGGTCCGCTGATCTTGGTCACTGGTATACTGGGTCCTCGTACGCTTGGTGTCCCGCTGCAGTCCACGGTGGCGGAGGCATGCTCACGCTCGGGATGGTTACTACAACCTGCACGATCAAACGCAGCTGCCTCTATCCACCAAGCCCTGCTCCAACAACCTCATCCCTCTTCCAGCAATGCCTCGGATCAGTTCTATTGGGCCGACGCTTTCACCAACTCAGACCTGCCTCAATTCTCCACCAAAAGAACATGGTCTTTCCTGTATCCCACCCTACCACCGGTCTCATGGAGCAAGGAGGTATGGTTTCAGTACTCTGTTCCCAAACATTCTTTTATTACTTGGCTGGTGGCTCGGAACCGTCTTCCTACTCGGGATAGGCTAATCTCTTGGAGCATAAACACCCCGAGTTCATGCTTGCTTTGCGACAATGCTGATGAAACGGTGGACCATCTATTCTTTGGTTGCCCTTTCTCCTGCCAACTTTGGCCAATGGCTTTGTTTAGCTCGCCTATTACTCCACCACAGCTGAACACGTTTACGGAGCATCTTACGTGGCTGAAAACCTGCTCTTCCGTCAAACACCTTCGACTCATGGTACTTCTCCTATTCCAAGCCACCGTTTACATGATTTGGCGTGAAAGGAATTCCAGAGCACACGGTTCCGAACCTACACCGTTGGCGATCATTCGACGGGACATCTTCAGATATACTAGGCGTAAAATCTCTTCATTACGGGCTGACTTGGCAAATCCTACCGCGGATGACTCCCTACTTAGTCTTTGGTTCCAGTATTTTGATATGTTGTAATCCTCATTTGACTTCTGATATTTTAATCCTGATGTAGCACAAAACTATCGACTGTACTTGGGCAGGTATATATATACAAGTTTACATTTTACCAAAAAAAAAAAAAA